TGCCTACATTTTTTAAAAATCTCAAATAAACAGCCTAATGTTATACCTTGAGACTTAAAAAAAGAGAAACAACCTAGGCCTAAAGTTAGCAGAAGAATGGGAATAGAAAGGATCAGAGCAAAAATGAATGAAATACTGAAACAATACCATTAATGGAAAAAAATAAATAAAACTAAGAGTTGTTTTTTTGAAAAGATAAACAAAATTAACACACCATTAGGTAGACTAAGAAAAAAAGAGGAATCAAATAAAATCAGAAATGAAAGAGGAGACATTATAGTTGATACCACAGAAATACAAAGTTTTATAAGAGACTGCTATGAACAATCATGCACCAACACATTGAATAACCTAGAAAAAAAACAAATTCCTAGAAACATACAATCATGACTGAATTGTGAAGAAATAAAAAATCTGAAAAGATCAATCATAAGCAAGGAGATTGAAAAAAAGTCTCTCATCAAAGAAAAGCTCAGGACCTGATAACTTCACAGCTGAATTTTACCAAACATTTAAAGAACTAATGGAATCCTTCTCAAACTCTTCTCAACACTTCAAGAGGAAGGAATATTTCCAAACTTATTTTACAAGGCCAGCATTACCCTGAAACCAAAGCCAGACAAGGACACCACAAGAAAAGAAAATTACAGGCCAATATCCTTTATGAACATACATGCAAAAAATTTCAACAAAAACTAGCAAACTGAATTCAGGAGCACATTAAAAGAATATTTCCTGATGACCGGGTAGGATTTATTCTGGGAATGCAAGGATGGTTTAACATATTCAAATCAATAAACATGCTACACAACATTAGCAAACAAAAAACATAAACATAACAAAAACCATAATTATTTTAAGAAATGAGGAAAAAGAATTTGACAAATTTCAACATTCTTTCATGCTAGAAACTCTCAACATTGTTCTGCCAGGCATGGTGGCTCATGCCTGGAATCCCAGCATTTTGGGAGGCTGAGGCAGGTGGATCAACTGAGGTCAGGAGTTCAAGACCAGCCTGGCCAACATGGCGAAAGCCCATCTCTACTAAAACTATAAAAATTAGCTGGGCAGGATGGCACGTGCCTGTAATCTTAGCTACTTAGGAGGCTGAGTCAGGAGAATAGCTTCAACCAGGAGGCAGAGGTTTCAGTGAGCCGAGATCATGACACTGAACTCCAGCCTGGGTGACAGAGTGAGACTCTGTCTCAAAAAAANAAAAGAAGAAAGAAAGAAAAGAAAGAAAAGAAAGAAAAGAAAGAAAGAAAGAAAGAAAGAAAAGAAAGAAAAGAAAGAAAAGAAAGAAAAGAAAGAAAAGAAAGAAAAGAAAGAAAAGAAAGAAAGAAAGAAAGAAAGAAAGAAAGAAAGAAAGAAAAGAAAGAAAAGAAAGAAAAGAAAGAAAAGAAAGAAAAGAAAGAAAAGAAAGAAAAGAAAGAAAAGAAAGAAAGAAAGAAAGAAAAGAGAAAGAATGAATGGATGAACCTCAGAATAAAGGCCGTACATCACAAGCCTATAACTAACATCATACTGAACAATGAAAAACTGAAAGCTTTTCCTCTAAGATCAGGAATAAGACAAGGATGTCCACTCCTACCAATTCTACTCAACATAGTACTAGAAGTTCTAGCCAGGGCAGTTAGGCAATAAAAAGAAAATAAAATACATCCGAATTGGAAAGGAAGAAGTAAAACTGTCTTTGTTTGCAGATGGCATTGTCTTTTATATAAAAAACTCTAAAGAGTCAACCAAACAAATAAATTCAGTAAATTTATTTGTTAAAACAAATAAATCTGTAGATTGCTTTGGGTAGTATGGTTATTTTAATATTAATTCTTCTAATCAATGGGCATGGGATATCTTTCCATTTATTTATGTCTTCAGTTTCTTTCATGAATGTTTTATAGGTTTCCTTGTTAAAACAAATAAATTCAGTAAATTTGTTAGAACAAATTTGTTAGAACAAATAAATTCAGTAAAGTTGCACAACACAAAATCAACATATAAAAACCAGTAGCATTTCTATACATTACAACAAGCTATCTGAAAAAGAAATCTGAAATAAATTCCATTTAAAATGACATCAAAAATACATACATAAATAAAGCAGAAATAAATTTAACCAAGAAAAATAAATATCTGTACAAGGAAACCTATAAAACATTCATGAAAGAAACTGAAGACATAAATCAATGGAAAGATATCCCATGCCCACTGATTAGAAGAATTAATATTAAAATAACCATACTACCCAAAGCAATCTACAGATTCAATGCAATACCTATTAATACTCCAATGACAACTTTCATAACAATAGAAAAAATCCTAAAATTCATAAGGAACCACAAAAGACCCAGAATCACTAAAGCAATCTTGAGCAAAAAGAACAAAGCTGGAAGCATCACACTACCGAATTTCAAAATATACAGCAAAACTGTACTAATTAAAACAGCATACTACTGGCATAAACACACATAAAAGACAAATGGAACAGATCAGAGAACCCCAAATTCACAAATTTATGGTCAGCTAGTCTTCAACAAATGTGCCAAGGATACACAATCAAGAAGGGAACATCACTTCAATAAATAGTTTGGGGACAACTTCATATCCATATGAAGAAACACAAAAATGAACTGGTATTTCACTCCATAAACAAAAATCAACTCAAACTGGATTACAGATTTAAACATAAGTGGGGCAGGACCCAAGATGGCCAAATAGGAACAGCTCGGGAGTGCAATTCCCAGCAAGAACATAAAGGGTAAGTGCCCACCGCATTTTCAAACAAATTTTCACTGCCCACAGACTGGGAGATTCCTGGGCCAAAAAGTACCACACGTTTTCAGCACAGCAGTTTCAGCTGGTGCCAGGTTGGCATGCAGAAATTCACACAAATCTGGACGGCCATTTCAACTGGCACCTGGAACGCCTGGGTTACAGAGATGCCCAGTCAATTCAAAACAGAGGGGGCAGAGACAGGGAGCCAGGCAATCTGGCACAGGGAGTACTGCCCCCACAAAACAAGCAATCTGAAATGCTCTGGATTGAGAGTTCTGCGGCAAGCGCAGCTGGACCCAGGACGGTCCAGCTCAGTGAGGGTAAGGGCAACCACCACTACCGAGGCAGTCCGCCACTACTGAGGCAATTCACCAGTACCGAGGCAGTTCAAACAGCAGCTGGGCAGAGCCTGCAGCAGCTCAGCAACATCTCTACTGGCAGACTGTGACTAGACTACTCCATGCAGGGCAGGGCATCTATGAAAAAAGGCAGCAGCATGACAGGAACTTATAAATAAAACTGACCTTCCTAGGATAGAGCACCTGGGAAAAGAGGCAGTTATGAGTTCCGCTGCAGGAGGCTTAAAAGTACCTGTCCAGCAACTCTGCACAGAACAGAAGAGCTCTCAGCACAGCACAGCACTTGAGCTCCTGTAAGGGACAGACTGTCTCCTCAAGCAGTTCCCTGACTCCAGGATACCCAAAGAGACACCTCCTAAAGGAGAGCTCAGGCTGACATCTGGCAGGTACCCTTCTGGGACAAAGATAACAGAAGAAGAAACCGGCAGCAACCCTTATTGTTTTGCAGTCCCCACGGGTGATCCCCAGGCAAGTAGGGTTTGGAGTGGACTTCCAGCAGTCCTGCAGGAGAGGGGCCTGGCTGTAGGAAGGAAAACTAAGAAACAGAAAGAACTTCATCATCAACAAAAAGGACATACACTCAGAGACCCCATCTGAAAGTCACCAACTACAAAGACCACAGGTAGATATAGCCACTAAGATGGGAAGAAACCAGCACAAAAAGGATGAAAACACCAAAAACCAGAATGCCTCTCCTCTTCCAAAGGATCACAACTCCTCACCAGCTAGGGATCAAAGATGGATGGAGAATAAATCTGATGAATTGACAGAAACAGGCTTCAATAGGTAGGTAATAACAAACTTCTCTGAGCTAAAAGAATGTGCTCTAACCCAATGCAAAGAAACTAAGGACCTAGAAAAAAGGTTAGATGAGATGCTAACTAGAATAAACAGCTTAGAAAAGAATATAAACAACTTGATGTAGTTGAAAAACACAGCGCAAGAACTTCACAAAGCATATACAAGTTTCAATAGCTGAATTGATCAAGCAGAAGAAAGAATATCAGAGATTGAAGATCAACTCAATGAACTGAAATGAGAAGGAAAGAATAGAGAAAAAAGAGTGAAAAGAAATCAACAATGCCTCCAAGAAATATGGGATTATGTGAAAAGACCTAATCTACGTTTGATAGGTGTACCTGAATGTGACAGGGAGAATGATTCAAAGCTAGAAAACACTCTTCAGGGTATTATTCAGGAGAACTTTACCAATCAAGCAAGGTAGGCCACCATTCAAGTCTAGGAAATACAGAGAACAACACGAAGATATTCCTCAAGAAGAGCAACCCGAAGGCACATAATTGTCAGATTCACCAGGGTTGAAATGAAGGAAAAAATGCTAAGGGCAGACAGAGAGAAAGGTTGGGTTACCCACAAAGGAAAGCCCATCAGACTCACAGCAGATCTCTCCACAGAAAACCTACAAGCCAGAAGAGAGTAGGGGCCAATATTCAACATCTTTAAAGAAAAGAACTTTCAACCTAGAATTTCATATCCAGCCAAACTAAGCTTCATAAGCAAAGGAGAAGAAAATCCTTAACGAACAAGCAATTGCTGAGAGATTTCATCACCACCAGGCCTGCCTTACAAGAGCTCCTGAAAGAAGTACTAAACAAGTAAAGGAACAACCAGTAACAGCCACTCCAAAAATGTACCAAATGGTAAAGAGCATCGACACAATGAAAAAAATGCGTCAACTAACGGGCAAAACAACCAGCTAGCATCAAAATGGCAGGATCAAATCCACGCATAACAATATTAATCTTAAATGTAAATAGGCTAAATGCCCCAATCAAAAGACACAGACTGGCAAATTGGATAAAAAGTCAAAACTCATCAGTGTGCTGTATCCAGGAAACCCATCACACATGCAAGGGCATACATAGGCTCAAAATAAAGGGATGGAGGAAGATTTATCAAGCAAATGGAGAGCAAAAAAAAGCAGGAGTTGCAAACCTAGTCTCTGATAAAATAGACTTTAAACCAACAAAGATCAAAAGAGACAAAGAAGGGCATTACATAATGGTAAAAGGATCAATGCATCAAGAAGAGCTAACAATCCTAAATATATACGCACCCCAATACAGGAGCACCAAGGTACACAAAGCAAGTTCTTAATGACCTACAAAGAGACTTAAGACTCCCACACAATAATAGCGGGAGACTTTAACACTCCACTGTCAATATTAGACAGATCAACAACACAGAAAATTAACAAGGATATCCAGGACTTGAACTCAGATCTGGACCAAGCAGACCTAATAGACATCTACAGAAATCTCCATCCAAAATCCACAGAATATACATTCTTCTCAGCACCGCATTGCACCTACTCTCAAATTGACCACATAATTGGAAGTAAATCACTTCTTAGCAAATGCAAAAGAACGGAAATCATAACAAACAGTCTCTCAGATCACAGGACAATCAAATTAGAACTCAGAATTAAGAAACTAACTCAGAACCGCACAGCTTCATGGAAACTGAACAACAGGCTCCTGAATGTCTACTGGATAAACAATGAAATGAGCAGAAATAAAGATCTTCTTTGAAACCAACAAGAACGAAGACACAACATACCAGAATCTCTGGGACATATTTAAAGCAGTGTCTAGAGGGAAATTTATAGCAATAAATGCCCACATGAGAAGCAAGGAAGGATCTAAAATCGATACCCTATTTTCAAAATTGAAAGAGCTAGAGGAGTGAGATCAAAAAAAAAACCTCAAAAGCTAGCAGAAGACAGGAAATAACTAAGATCAGAGCGGAACTGAAGGAGACAGAGACACAAAAAACCCTTCAAATCCAGGAACTGGTTTTTTGAAAAGATCAGCAAAACAGACAAACCGCTAGCCAGATTAATAAAAAAGAAAAGGGAGAAGAATAAAAAAGATGCAATAAAAAACGATAAAGGGGATATCACCACTGATTCCACAGAAATACAAACTACAATCAGAGATTACTACAAACAACTCTACGCACATAAACCAGTAACCTGGAAGAAATGGATAAATTCCTAGACCATTGCACCCTCCCAAGCCTAAACCAGGAAGAAGTTGAAACCTTGAACAGACCAATAACAAGGGCTGAAGTTGAGGCAGCAATTAATAGCCTACCAACCAAAAAAAGTCCAGGTCCAGACAAGTTCACAGTTAAATTCTACCAGATGTATAAAGAGGAGCTGGTACCATTCCTTCTGAAACTATTTCAAACAACATGAAAAGAGGGAATCCTTCCCAAATCATTTTATGAGACCAAAATCATCCTGACACCAAAACCCGGCAGAGACTCAACAAAAAAAGAAAACTCCAGGCCAATATCCATGATGAACACAGATGCAAAAATATTCAATAAAATACTGGCAAACTGATTGCAACAGCACATCAATAAGCTTATCCATCACAATCAAGTAGGCTTCATCCCAGGGATGCAAGGCTGGTTCAACATACGCAAGTCTATAAACGTAATCCACCACATAAACAGAACCAAAGACCAAAACCACATGATTATCTCAATAGATGCAGAGAAGGCCTTCAACAAAATTCAGCAGCCCTTTGTGCTAAAAACTCTCAATAAACTAGGTATCGGCAGAACATATCTCAAAACAATAAAAGCTATTTACAACAAACCTACAGCCAGTATCATACTGAATGGGCAAAAACTGGAAGCATTCCCTTTGAAATCTGGCACTAGACGAGGATGCCCTCTCTCACTACTCCTATTTGATGCAGTATTGGAAGTTCTAGCCAGGGCAATTAGGCGAGAAAAAAAAATAAAGGGCATTCAATTAGGAAAAGAAGAAGTCAAATTGTCTGTATTTGCAGATGACATGATTGTATATTTAGAAGACCCTGTCATCTCAGCTCAAAATCTCCTTAAACTGATAAGCAACTTCAGCAAAGTCTCAGGATACAAAATCACTGTGCAGAAATCACAAGCATTTCTATACACCAATAACAGACTAACAGAGAGCCAAATTATGAGCAAACTCCCATTCACAATTGCTACAAAAAGAATAAAATACTTAGGAATACAACTAACAAAGGATGTAAAGGACCTCTTCAAGGAGAACTACAAACCACTGCTCAACGAAATAAGAGAGGACACAAACAGATGGAGAAACATTCCATGCTCATGGTTAGGAAGAATCAATATTGTGAAAACGACCATACTGCCCAAAGTAAGTTATAGATTCAACGCTATCCCCATCAAGCTACCAATGACCTTCTTCACAGATCTGGAAAAAACCACCTTAAACTTCATATGGAACCAAAAGAAGCCCACATAGCCAAGCCAATCCTAAGCAAAAAGAACAAAGCTGGAGGCATCATGCTACCTGATTTCAAACTATACTACAAGTCTATGGTAATCAAAACAGCATGGTACTGGTACCAAAACAGAGAGATAGACCAATGGAATACAACAGAGGCCCTGGAAGCAATGCTACACATCTACAACCATCTGATTTTTGACAAACCTAACAAGAACAAGCAATGGGGAAAGGACTCCCTGTTGAATAAATGGTGTTGGGAAAACTGGCTAGCCATGTGCAAAAAGCAGAAACTGAACCCCTTCCTGACACCTTACACTAAAATTATCTCCAGATGGATTAAAGACTTAAACATAAGGCCTAACACCATAAAAACCCTGGAAGAAAATCTAGCCAAAACCATCTATGGAATATTATGCAGCCATCAAAAAAGGTGAGTTCGTGTCCTTTGTAGGGATATGGATGAATCCGGAAACCACAATTCTCAGCAAACTGAAACAAGAACAGAAAATCAAACACCACGTGTTCTCACTCATATGTGGGTGTTGAACAATGAGAACACACGGACACAGGGAGGGCAGCATCACACACTGGGGTCTGTTGTGGGGGGCCAAGGAAGGGACAGCAGGGGGGTGGGGATTTCGAGGAGGGATAACAAGGGGAGAAATGCCAGATGTACGTGATGGGAGGATGGAGGCAGCAAACCATATTGCCATGTGTGTACCTATGCAACAATCCTGCATGATCTGCACTTGTACCCCAGAACCTAAAGTACAATTTAAAAAAAAAAATGATTTAAACATAAGACCTGTAACTATAAAACTACTAAAAGAAAACACAGGTAAATACTCTTAGCAGTATGGCATGATACATGTAAAAATTGTTAGGATGGCAAATGTTAGTGACTTTTTTACCATTACTGTTAAATTTACAAAAAAAATCTTGAAAATAATTGTTAAAATGCCAAATTTTATATATATTTTGCCAAAATAAAATAAGAAATATAGACATATATGTCAATGATGAAGAAGAATATACAGATAATTTCTAACTAACATGCATAGGGCCTATGTACCCATCCTGCATACATAACGATATGGAAAAATTTGCAAGATATATGACTAAGGGGAAAAAGGACATAACAATTCCTTTTTATATTTAAAAAGGGGGTGGAATAGGGAGGTTCTATGTGTGTATATATATTAAAACATGAAGAATGATTTCTAGTCATTTTCAACAGTGAAAATGAATGAATCACAGCTACATCTATCAATAGAGCTAAATCACAAAGTGACATAAAGGGGAAAAGCAGGCTGCAGATATAGGTGCAAATTATCAAATAAAACATTTTTAAAAGCTTTAAAACTGATTTAAAAATATATTACATATTGCTTAGGGATATATGCAGATCAGTAAAAGTATATCATGATCTAAACACTCCCTAACACACTTGCAGAAACAGTGATTATCAGTCCTACAGCTGAGACAATTAGGCCTATCCCAAGAGCTCAGCACCAGGTCTTTGGTAATACCCCATAAGGAGACACGTATTGAAAACAAACAGCAGACAGAAAAAAGGAGTGATAGCACAGGTCTTGTATCATTTCTCAATTCTGGTTGCTAAGCAAGGCATTCCTAATGTCCAGGTGCCTTTTTCTGTGTCCTCTATGCCAAGGACTCCGCTGGTTTTCCTTTAAAGAACTCAGGGGGCAGGGCACAGGGGCTCATACCTGTAATCCTAGCACTTTGGGAGGCCCAGGTGGGTGGATCATGTGAGGTCAGGAGGTCAAGACCAGCCTGGCCAATGTGATGAGATCCCATATCTGCTAAAAATACAAAAATTAGCCGATCGTGGTGGCACTCGCCTGTAATCCCAGGTATTTGGGAGGCTGAGGCACAACAATCACTTGAACCGGGAGGCAGAGGTTGCAATGAGATGTCATTGTGCCACCACACTCGAGACTGGACAACGGAGCAAGGCTGTGTCTCAAAGACAAAAAAATTAGGGACCACCTACAATATTCCTGAGTGCTTAAGAGGTATCTATGTTTCTAGCTATATCTACATAAATTTTTTTTAATCTTTAAACATTTGATCTTTTAATACAGTAAAGAAAAATAAGCAAACACTTACAACTTCTCTGGGAGGTGTCACTGGAGAAACATGTCGAGGGACACTCACTGGCTGTCTAGAAGGGTTTGCTTGATTTTTGCCACCTGACCTGAAAGATACAATTACTTTTCATCTAAATTAAGATTAAAACATTTCTACATGAAATATTACACACATTTTGCATTTTCCCAAATACAGAATAACGATGGTGGTAGTGATGGTGATGATAATCATGACACAGTTAAAATGTTTATGCCATTTTAACAGCTTTCATGCATTTTAAATCCTTATGGCATTAGAAAGCATTACTAACCACATTTTATAATTAAACTGAAATTTTAAGAAATTGTGAAATTTGGTCAGTTAAGCCAATGGTCCCTTAAGTTTTCTCCTCAAATCTTCCTAAAATCAGAGTAAAAGCATATTCTCAGGTTGCCAAGTAGTCATTTTAAAAGTTAGGAAATCCAGCCGGGCACAGTGGCTCACGCCTGTAATCCCAGCAGTTTGGGAGGCCAAGGCAGGTGGATCACCTGAGGTCAGGAGTTTGAGACCAGCATGGCCAACATGGTCAGGCCCCATCTCTACTAAAAATACAAAAATGAGCTGAGCGTGGTAATGGGCATGTGTAATCCCAGCCATTTGGGAAGATGAGGCAGAAGAATCGCGTGAACCCGGGAGGCAGTGGTTGCAGTCAGCCGAGATCGTGCCATTGCACTCCAGCCTAGGCGACAAGAGCAAAAACTCAGTCTCAAAAAATAAAAAAATTAGGAAATCCAAGGTTAGTGAATGAATTGGCTGGAAAGATATGTTTTACACATGCTAAGGTGACAGCAAGTCAGTGCACTGGAGATGTATGGAAGATAGCTATAGTTATGAAACTCAAACTTCAAAAATGCAGATGGGGGAATTATTTACATAGACTGGTCAGTTGGAAGTGTGATAGGAAGTATTTACTTACTCCACCATCAGAATTGGTGTTAAGCAAAATGAACCCTGAGCACTTTCAGCAGCCTAAAGGCTGACCACCATAATCTTTTCCCCTCCTTGTTATAAGAGGTGACATGGTCACCATAGCCTTTCAAACCACGCTAATCATGTCACAAGGTCACAGAGATAACTTAAAACCCTATTTTAGAGGATTAGCAACCTCTGTGATATGACTATCAGCATTAATACTTTATAAATTATTTAATATAGGCTGAGTGTAGAGGCTCATGCCTGTAATCCCCGCACTTTGCGAGGCTGAGGCAGGTGGATGGCTTCAAAAAGTTCAAGACCAGCCTGAGCAACATGGCAAAACCCCATCTCTACAAAAAAATACAAAACTTAACTGGGTGTGGTGGCACACCTGTAATCCCAGGTACTTGGAAGGCTGAGGCAGGAGGATCACGTAAGCCCAGGGAGGTAGAGACTCTGTCTCAGAAAATATATGTATATATTTAATATAGGAATTAAAAGAAAAAATATAAGTACTCATATGTTTGTGATCTCTTCTTTCTGAAAAAGCTTCTGCACAGTTGATCTCTCTTGACGAAGATAAAAATAGCACAGACAATAAGGGGAACAATTAGGAAGAAGAACACCAGAAGTCCGTCCCTCAAGGCAGTATTCATTTCTAGAGAAAAGAATTTTACATCAACAGTCACCAAACTCATACTATCCAGAAAATACTAGAGGATTATAAATATTTTACATTAATTTTCCCATTACTCAAAAATCAAACTGACATTAATTGAATACATTGAGAAGTCTTTCTCACAGTTCATCCCTGTCTACTTTATTTCTGCCTTCACAAAAATAACCACTTTTATTAGTTTCTTCTGTAATCTTACAGTATTTCTTCAAGCAAACAATCAAGAACAAAATATGTTTCTATTGTCAACACTTTCTTACACAAAAGGTAACATACTATTTATACCATTTGGGGCATCAGTTTTTTTCCACTTATCTGTACATAGTGGGTCTCATTTTCCACACAGCTATACAAAACTCCATTGTGAAGATGTTCTAGAGTTTACTTAACTTGTACCCTACTGATAAACACTTTTATTTTTTCAATCTTTTGTTACTACCATTATAGCAACCAAAATAAGTTGCTATAATAAATAACCTTGTACATATATCATATCACATGAGTCCAGGTATAACTACAGAATATTTCCCTAAAGCAGAATTGCTGTATCAATAAATAAGTGCATTCATCACTCTTTTTAGATATTGTCAAGTTGTCTTTCAACGGTAATAGTTACAATTTATAAGAATATTATAAGCAATATATAAGAATTCCCCATAGCCTCACCCACAGAGCCAAACCAGATTTTTGCCAACCTGGTAGGTGAAAAATGTTATCTTACGGAATTTTAATTTACTTTTTTTTAATACTATGAGTGGAGCATTTTTGTTTCTTGTTTAAGGAAACTATTTCTTTTTTTCTGTTTTTGTACTAAACTCTTGCTTTTTTCTTCTTAATTTCTAAAAGTTCTTTAAATACCAGAGAGATTAGCTTTGCCTGTGATATGAGTTGGAAATGTTTTCCCCATTTTAACCTATGGCACTATGCTCTTCCCCATGCAGAATTTTATTATTTATGTATAGTTGAATCTATCAATTTTATTTGTATGCCTTCTAGATTTTAAGTTTCATTGCAACTTTTACAAATTCATTAAGTTTTATGTGTTCTATATTTTTTTGAGAAATAATACAGTAGATATGAACAGGAGTGGTAAATTGATTCATGATTTTAATTTGTAAGAGAACCAGAAATTTCTTTTAAAAGTTGTGTAAAACTATACGAAACAATATTTATCCCAACTGAAAATCAAAATACAATTGACCCTGGAACAATGTGGGTTTGAACTGCACAGGTCCACTTATATGAAAACTATCTTGTGCCTCTGCCACCCCTGAGACCAACCTCTCCTCTTCCTCCTCAGCCTACTCTACAGGAAGATGATAAGGATGAAAGTCTGTATGATAATCTACTTTCACTGGATGAATGGCATATACATTTTCTCTTCTTTGTGATTTTCTTAATAAATTTTCTTTTCTCTAGCTTGCTTTATTATAAGGATACAGTATAAAATACATATAACAGATAAAATCTGTGGTAATCAACTGCTTATGTTATTGGTAAGTCTTCCACTCAACAGCTTAGTAGTCAAGTTTTGGGGAAGCCAAAAGTTACACATGGCTTTTCAGTTATCGGGGGTTGGTGCCCCCAACCTCTGCATTATTCAAGGGTCAACTGTATAAATAATTAAAGCAAGCTTCATATTATCATTTTATACTTACTAATGAGTATACAAAATTTAAATTAAAGCATTCCACATTGGCAAGATTATTTTGAAATTGAAACTTTCGCACTGTTAGCAGCATTACACAAATGTATCATTTATTAGAAATTTTTACTCCTAAAAGAACTATAAAAAGAATTATTCTCTTCAAACTAATCTCATTACTGGCAATAGATTCTTCAACTGGAAAAATGCATACGCATTAACATGTACACTATAATGTTAACAGTGCATTATCAAAACCTTAAAAACAATCTAAATGTCAAATAATTAGAAAACGGCTAAGTGAAGTTATGGCACATCCATTGGATGAAATGATACACAGCTGTTAAAATCCATAGTTCTAACTTCCAGTTATAGCCAAGGTGGAATAACAGGGACCAGATTTACTCTGCCAGCTAAAATAACCAGAAAACCAGACATAATATATGAAACAACAGTTTTTCGAGACACTGGACATCAGGCAACAAACAGCAATGATCCCTGAGAGGCAGAAAAAAAAATAAGGTAAGCCTTACAATTGTCCCAGGTTTGTGCCTAAAGAAAGTTAACAGACACTTAAGGAGGGGTGTGGGCACCAATGCAAAACCCAGTGGTCTCTCTCAGTTAAAGACATGGAGCTGCTATTCTGAAGAGGCCAAGGCAGCTAGAGTTCCCAGACAAAGTAGCAAAGGGAAGAGAGCTACAGAGAAAACTTGAAAGATCTGCATCAGTGCTGATGGATATATGCATGTATGTAGACCATGTGAAGCTGGAGAAAGAACGATTATAAAAAGACTGATGGAAATAAGCCCTACAACTCACACAGGATTAGGAAGAGTATTTGCTCCTACAATTCAGTAGGAAACTTCATATTTAATGTGGCACTGAGCAGGATAAACAGAAGTGGTTTTGCCTCAGTAATAAAGCAGAATCAGTCCTAGACTAAATGCTATTTAGGTCCTGCCTTAAAAGTTTAAAAGCAAGACCCTGAAGGATCAAACTAGGTAACTCAAGCATACTAGTACAATAGAAATGCAAAAATATCCAATAACCCACAAAGTAGGATTTATAATTTCTGGCATCTAATAAAAATGTGTAAGGCTTACAAAAATGCAGAAATATATAAGGCAAAAAGAGGGAAAAATATCAAAACTGAGACATTATACCTATGACAGAATTAGTAGGCAAGGATATTAGCAGTTATTACAACTGTATTCTATTTGTTCAAAAACTTAAAGACTGAGCATCTTATGCAGTGTTATGAAAGATATAAAAGAAATGGAACTCTAGAAATAAAAACGACAATGTCTAAAATGGAAAACACACTGGCTCAAGTTAATGACAAATTTGACTCCATGGAACAAATGTGAACTGAAAAGTAGTAACAGAAGTTGCTCAAAATTAAACATGAAGACAAAAGAGTAATTTTTAAAAATCAACAGCCAGCCAGGCATGCTGGCTCACACCTATAATCCCAGAACTTTGGAAGGATCACTTGAGGCCAGGAGTTTGAGACCAGCCTGGCCAACACGGTGAAACCCCGTCTCTACTAAAAATATAAAAATTAGCCAGGCTTGGTGGCACACAAATGTAGTCCCAACTACTCAGGAGGCTAAGACATGAGAATTGCTTGAACCCTGGAGGCAGAAATTGCCACAAGCCAAGATCATGCCACTGCACTCTATCTAGCCTGGTCGATAGAGCAAGACTCTGTCTCAAAAAAAGTAAAATTAAAATTTAAAAAAATAAAAATAAAAAATCAACAGCCAGTGAGTAAGATGTGAAATAACATCAAGCAGCCAAATATACATAAAATTGGAGGACTTGAATGAAAAGGGAGAAAGAAGAAGACAGAAAAAAATATCTGAAGAAATTATGGCCAAATATTTTTCAAATATGAAGAAAACTATACAAGCACAGATCCAAAAAGCTCAAAAAATCCAAAGCACACCAAGGCATATTCTAATAAATTATTAAAAACCAGAGATAAAGAGAAAAACATTACAAGCAACCAGAGATTCGAAAAACATATATACAGCAGACATTACATACAAAGAAAAGGATGACAGCAGATCTTCAGGAAAAACAATGCAAGTCAGAAAACAAGCAATATCCTTAGAAGTAAAAAGGGAGGAAAACTATCACCCTAGAATTCTTGCCCAGTTAAATTATCATTCAAGTAGCAAGGCAAATTAATGATTTTTTTCAGACATACAAGTTAAAAATATTTGTCACTGGCACACCTGCATTATAAGAAATGGAAAAGGAAATCCTTCAAGCAGAAATTAAATGATATCAGATTGAAATGCGAATTTACACAAAGAAATGGAGAGCACCAGAAATGCTAATTATATGGGTAAATATAAAGACTTTTTCTATTATTAAGTCTCTTTGAAAGATAATCAACTGTTCAAAGCAAAATGAATAACAATGAATTGTGGGTTTTATAACATAAGTAGAAGTAAAACATGACAACAATGGCACAAAAAGAGAGAAACAGAAATTTACTAAAGTATTATAGTATCACTACAACAGAGACCATAACAGAAAATATCAAGATAGTAAATTTCAACATAAACACATCAATAATCAAGTTAAATATAAATAATCAAAACAATTTAGGCAGAGAACAGCAGATTAGATTAAAAGCAAGACCCAACTACATCACTAATTACTATAGCATGATATAAAGAAATAAGTAAAAGGATGGGAAAATTTTCCGTGCTGACTAATTAATAGAAATCTGGAGTAGCTATATTAATAATATCTCAATGCAGAACAGAGAATACTACTAGGGAGAAAGAAGGCTATTTCGTAAAAGATAAAGGAGTCAATTTACAACAAGGATAGAGTAATTCTAAATGTTTAGGCACCTAATAACAGAGCATAACAATAAATAAAGCAAAAATTGACAGAACCATTAAGAGAAATAGGCAAATTGGCAGTTATAGCCAAAGAATTCAATATTCCTCTCAATAACTGACAGAGTAAGTAGGCCAGAAAATCAGTAAGGACATGAAAGATCTGACTACCTATTAACTAAAATGAACTAATAACTTAGAGAATATTCCACCTAAGAATAGTAAAATAGATAAACCACATTCTGGACTACAAGTTTCAAAAAATAAAAGGATTCAAGTCATATATAATATGCTCTCTTGCTACAGTGAAATAAAATTTAAATCAGTAACATCAAGGTAACTAAAAAGGCCAGGCGCGGTGGCTCACACCTGTAATCCCTGCACTTTGGGAGGCCAAGGTGGTGGATCACCTAAGGCTGGCAGTTCAAGACCAGCCTGACCAACATGGAGAAACACTGTCTCTACTAAAAATACAAAAATTATCCAGGTGTGGTGGCAGGCGCCTATAGTCCCAGCTACTCAGGGGGCTGAGGCAGGAGAACAGCTTGAAACTGGGAGGCGGAGGTTGCAGGGAGCAGAGGTCCGACACTGCACTCCAGCCTGGGTGACAAGAGACTCCGTCTCAAAAAAAAAAATCTAAAAAATCCACAGAAATTTCAAAAGAAATAGCACATATCTAAATAATCTGTAAGTCAAAGAAAAAAAATAAAAACAGAAGGTATTCAGAACAGAACGAACATGGAGGTATAATATATCAAAATTTCTTGGATGAATTAAGAGGAAAATTGATAACAATAAAATGCCTATATCAGAAAAGAAAAAGGTCTCACATCAATGATCTCATTTTCCACCTTAAGAAACTAGAAAAAAGAACAAATGAAATACAAAGTAAGCAACTAATAGAAAATATATACAAAGTACATATTTAAGAAAGAACTTGAATACTTGAATCAGTGACATGTAAAGAATTTTCAAAACTCATTAAAACAACCCAATTAAAAACTGGAAAAAAAGACTCAGACACATAACCAAAGAAGATATGTAGATGGCAAATAAATACAAGAAGAGATTCTCAACATCATTAGCAATTAGAGATATGCAAATTAAAACCACAATGAAATACCACTACATACCTACTGGAGTGGATAACATTAAAAAGACTGACAATAACAAGTGTTAGAGAGGATGTAGGGAAATTGGAGCTCTCATATACAGCTAGTGAGGATGTAAAATGGTATAGCCACATTGCATAACAGTTTGGCAGTTCCTTTAAAAGCTTAACATACACCTATTATATGACTAGTCATTCCCAAGAGAAATAAAGCGTATGATCTCACCAGAAAGATACGGTAAACTGGGAGTTCATGGTCAGGGAATTTTAAAAGGCAAATCAGTAATTAGTATAGTAATTAGTGCTAACAGTACTAGAAAAGCAATAGAAGGGGATGATAATTCATATTTAGGCAGCCAGGGGAAACTTCCTTTAGAAACTGACATATAATCTGAAGCCTAAATAGCAATTAGCCAACTGCCAACAATGTGAAAATAATATGGTATGAAAGCCCAGAGGTAAAAGATAGTAGACTATTAGACGAAATCAAAGAAGTTACAATATGTCTTTAGCACACTGAGATGAGGCTGGAAAGGTAAGAGAGGGGCAAGTCATGCAGGGCATTTAAGCCATGTTAAGGAGTTGTGGACTTCATTCTAAAAGCAATGCAGATGCACTGAATTAAAGCAAGATGCTGACATAATCAAAACTGAATTCTGGAAACACTAAACTCTGTAATGTAGAGTGAAACATGGATTACAGGAAGCAAGATGAAAAATAGGGAGCCTACATAAGAGGCTATGATGTATGTTCAGGCAAGAAATTGAAAGTAATAAATGGGGATGAGAAAAATGGAAACATTCACAAGGAATTTAGGAGGCTGAATCAACATCATTAAATGTATAACTGATGTGGGAAGTGAGGGAGAGGTACGAGGATGCCCATTTTATGCCTTGGGCCACTGGGAGATCACACTAATTTTCTTCTATATTACTTGCCATTGTATGTAGGTCCACTGTCCATACTTCCTCCGTATCCTTTAGTCTCACAATTTGGGGGAGCCCAGCCATTTTCACAGTGACAATTCTTATTGCTATTACATACCTTCAAAACAATCAAAATACCACTTTTGTTAATTGTGAATGTTGCTCTGTATCGTCAACTCAAGAATGGAAACCAAGAGAAAGGACTAAATTCATATAAACTTACTGACACTGTTTAAAAATAAAAAATGTATCAGGAATCTAAATTCCCCAACATCTGAAAATCCTGAGAATTCTCAACTAGTCCTCTCTGAGATTTCTTATTATTTAGCACTACTTTCATGAACAAACCAAAAGGAAACATTACCTACCCCACGTCCATGACACTTTTTCTGGACATCACAGTCATAATTCAGAACAGAAGCATCTACACACTGGAAGTTTCTACAGATCTAGGGGGGAAAAAAATGAACAAAAGGAAGATTGAGCACATTAATTAAAAAGTACCCAGAAAAAAGACCTGGGTACAGATTATTTCATTGCAGAATTCTTTCAAACTTCCAAGGAACCACTAATTCCCATATTATATTTTTGAAAATGCAGAAAAATAAGTGACATTAACTAATTGACATAAAATTAATTATCAAAAAACACAAAGATGACATAAAGACCAAAAACAAAGATAAAACTATTATCTATCCTTCTATGTGATATAGATATGACAATCCTAAATAAAATATTACCAAATGGACTTTTTCAAATCAAAAGTAACCAGATAGAGGACAGGTGAAGTGGCTCACACCTGTAATCCAAGCACTTTGGGAGGCCGAGGCGGGCAGATCACCTGAGGTCAGGAGTTTGAGACCAGCCTGACCAACATGCTGAAACCCCGTCTCTACTAAAAATACAAAACTAGCTGGGTGTGGTGGCACATGCCTGCAATCCCAGCTACTTGGGAGGCTGAGGCAGGAGAATCGCTTGAACCCAGGAGGCAGAGGTTGCGATCAGCCAAGATTGCACCATTACACTCCAGACTGGGAAACAAGAGTGAAATCCAACTCAAAAAAAAAAAAAAGTAACCAGATAGAATTAACCCCAGGACTATAAGGAAGATTCAAGGATAGAAGATCTATTGCTGCAAGACATCTATAAAGTGTTGTTACTACGACAGACATCGAAAGGATAACTGATAATATATAAAACTCATTTTAATTTTTAAAATTCTTTCAAAAAGAAAAGGATACTTTGTTGACAAGATAAAACCTGTTTTCCAGTACCATGATTAGATATTTCTATTAAAAGCACTATTGAAAATAAGTCCTTATAACATTACATGGTTCAAGAAATTCTAGTTCATATGGTGAGATATGAAACAGAAATGAATCCTAAATACTGAGAAAGAAAAAAAAATTACCTCAGAAAAAATATTAACCTAAGATCTAAAGGAATCAGCTAAAAACATTTTAGAAATTTTTTAATTGGCATCTTTGTGAAAACTGCTCTTTTGTGATATTAGAAAAAAAAAAGGAGACTAACATTTTAAAAGACTGTTGAGTGCTATTTTAAAATTTGATTAAGCAACAAGCCTAATAAATCTTGTATACAGGATCAGAATATTTAAATGTGCAAATGAAATAAAGAACAATTAGAAAACAAACATACAATGAAATATCAAGATAGCCTTACCACTCTAAAAAATATATAGGTTTGAACAGAACTGTACTTTTAAAGTCAGAAGATCTCCAAACACTGTTTCCTCCAATTTTCCATTAATTTTTAAATAGGACATATATATACTTATATGATTAAAAATTCCAAAATTACAGCTACAGTGAGTCATCTGTCCTCTAGCCATGCACAACTCCTGAATAAAGATTTCCAAATGCTTTTTTTCTTACATCTTTAAGTCTTTAGAGGAGATATTTACCAAGAGTTTCCCTACGAGTTAAAAGATTTTCTTTTCAGTAATTGATTCAGAGTGGACATCTGAAGCATTAAATAAGATTAAATGTGTTAATAAATGGCAGATTTACTTTAAGGAGCAAGAAAATTCCAAGTCCTTGAGAGAAAGGGTGTTCTGATTGGAAGTGTTTACCTGTGGAATGGGAAAAGCCAAACTGAAAGGAATACACTCAACAACTTTCACAGTGGGGACTGGGCGCAGTGGCTTCTCCCAGCACTTTGGGAGGCCGAGGAAGGTGAATCACTTAAGGCCAGGAGTTTAAGACCACCTTGATCAACATGGTGAAACCCCATCTCCACTAAAAATAAAAATTAGCCAGGCACGGTGGTACACACCTGTAGTCCCAGCTACTTGGGAGGTGGGAGAATCGCTTAAACCGAGGAGGCAGAGGTTGCAGTGAGCCAAGATCATACCACTGCACTCCAGCCTGGGCAAAAGAGCGAGATGCTGCCTCAAAAAAAAAAGCCCATCCTCTCACACACTACCACCACGCCCCTATGATCCACACATCAAGCAGAGCAAAGTTGACTATAGGACTTCCGGTTTACTGATTTCTGGATGCAAGTGGGGAGCAAAATTGAACTACCTGGGACAATAAAAATGCAAGTGAGGAGTTCTTCTTTTCCACTTTTTCCCCCACCCCATGTTTAGCTTGTCCTAGAAATAAATGTTGAATAAATGTGTAAATAATACAGATCTGAAGTAGTACTAAGTTGTCAGCCTGCTCAAACTGTCCGCAGTCTAGGCTTTGGTACATAGCAGAAGGGATAGAATCCTAGCTGCCTTGTGAAAATTCAGGTGTTAAATGTCATAGACTAAACTGACAGTTACAAAGTTACAGATGTACAGAATGCATGGCATATGGTTTTAATGGGGTGTCAGTTTGGGTCAAGGTGTATCAGTCTAGGTACATACATCAACCACTTGCTATCCTTTCTTGCACGTAAATATGGTTGACAAAGCTAGAAAATTATGCAGTTAGCAATAAAACGCAGAAAGACAAAACGTCTTCAAAATACACCAATATATGTCAAATAACAACTTGGAATTTAAAGCCAATAATTTTCCTACCAAATCAAAACTGGGACATGGGGGTTTGGAAGTAACAGTGGTATAGCTTACACAGACACAATCAGTAGATACTATTTGTATTCATTACATCTTTGAGAAAAATATATTAATGTGTTTTTCTTAAGTAAACAAGCAGAATAGATATATAACTAACAAAGTGCACACACACACACTCCCTACACAGATAAATAATTTGTGTAATACTGCGAGAGGAAGATAAAATAGAAAATATCAAGAAAATAATTTATATATATATATATATATATATTTGCACTTTAGGTTCTGGGGTACGTGTGCAGAACATGCAGGATTGTTGCATAGGTACCTACATGGCAATGCGGTTTGCTGCCTCCATCCCACCATCACCTGTATCTGGCATTTCTCCCCATGTTACCCCTCCAAAGAAAATAATGTAACATCAGCAATAAGATCGGAGAAATAGGATGAAACGTTAATAAATTGTGCCAATAAAAGCCAGATATTTACATTACGCTGAGATACAAAAAGCCTTTTAAACATGACATGAAACCAAGACAAACAGATAAGACTGGTAAATTTCATGATATTTTAAGGCTGGGCGCCAGGGCTCACACTTGTAATCCCAACACTTTGGGAGGTCGAGGCAGGCAGATCACTTGAGGTTAGGAATTCAAGACAAGCCTGGCCGACATGGTGAAACCCCGTTTCTACTAAAAATACACAAATTAGCAAAAATGGTGGCAGACACCTGTAATCCCAACTACTGGGGAGGCTGAGGCATGAGAATCTCATGAGCCTGGGAGGTGGAGGTTGCACCAAGACTGCACCACTGCACTCCAGCCTGGGTGACAGAGGCCCAAAAAAAAAAAAAAATCATTCTATTCTAAAATAGGCTTATGTCAAATTGTAGATCATATTTACACAGATATAACTGTTAATATTCTTTACATATGAGAAGCCTTAAAAAATAAAATGACAACCTAACAGTAAAACAAATATGAACTTCTCAGAAAAAAAATATGGATCTAATAAAGATATGAAAAGATGCCCACCCAGGTACAGTGGCCCACACCTGTAATCCCAGCACTTTGGGAGGCTAAGGAGGGAGGATTGCTTGAGCCTAGGAGTTCAACACCAGCCTGGGCAAAAATAGCAAGATCCTGTCTCTACAGAAAATTTTTAAAAAATTAGCCAGGCATGTTGGTCACACCTGTAGTCCCAGCTAGTAGGAAATTGAGGTGGGAGGATCACTTGAGTCTGGGAGGTCAATGCTGCAGTGAGCCATAATCATACCACTGCACTCTAGCCTGAGCAACACAGCAAGACTCTTGTCAAAAAAAAAAAAAAAAAAAAAAAAAAAAAAAAAAAAAAAAAAAAAAAAAAAAAAAAGATGCCCAAGCAGGAAAACACAAACTAAAACAATAATGAGGGTTTTTCTTTTTTTTTCATTTCAGGATGCCAAGAATGTAGAAAGATATAAGACACCGTGACAAACAATTAATTGTTATCACCTTATTCAAAGGGAAATTGCACTTTCTATAAAAAATTTAAAAGTGTATCTCTTAATTTTAAAAGTCTACTCCTAAAAATCTATCCTACATAAATACTCACAAAAGTGGATGAGATTAATACACCCATTTAATCTAGATTAATCTCATTTAGAGATTAGAAAAGTGTTCAGCACCAGTTAAATAAACTGTAAACAATAAAAATGTCCATACTGTGGCTAAATAATTGGTCTATCTATAATGGAATAAAGTAGATTTTTATATAAATACCTGAAGGATCTCTGCCCTGTGCTGCTGAATAAACACATTTCAGAATATTATTTAACATCTAATCCTTTTGTTTGTTTTCAGACAGGGATTCCGTCTGTCACCCAACCTAGAGGTAGAGTGGTGCCATCACAGCTCACTGCACCCTCAAACTCCTGGGCTCAAGCAAACCTTCTGCCTCACCTCCTGAGTACCTAGGACTACAGTTGTGCGCCACCACACCTGGCTAATTTTTTAAAAAGTGTTTTGTAGAGATGGCATCTCACTATGTTGCCCAGGCTGATCTCGAGCTCCTGGCCTCAAGTGATCCCCCACCTTGGCCTCCAGAAGAGCCTAGATTACAGGCCAGATCCACTATAGCCAGCCTCATTTTTCATTTCTTAAAGTGCCAGAGGGCAGGGGAGTATATACATTTGTAAATACCCAGAGACAGAATTGCACAGATACACAACAGTGTTAATAGTAGTTATCCCTATGAAATAAGTCTGAAAAGAAGAGGAATGAGTGTAATATCAGCAGGAGACTTTTGTATGTATGCATGTATGTATGTATTTAGAGATGGAGTTTTAGCTATGTTGCCCAAGCAGTGGCGTGATCTCAGCTCACTGCAACCTCCGCCTTCTGGGTTCAAGCAATTCTGCTGCCTCAGCCTCCCAGGCATGTG